GCCAGCTGCATCTCTGACCGGACCTGCCGCCAAATCTGAGGGCAGCGGGAGGCTCCTTCGCCCCCGCCTGGGTCCTCGGTCATGGCGTGGTAGGGTGGGGGCGCAGATGGCACAGCCGCACCCTTAAACTGGCTCTCCTTGTGATTCTTTCCCTTTTCTCCCAGTTTTATTTTTTCCAATCTGCTGGCTAACTGTACCTCCTCTGGCTCCGAATCCTCCTCCGAGCTAGAGGTGCCTGTCCCTTTAAGGCTGGGGTAGATTCCCTTCTCCTTAGCACTCCCCCTTTCACTGTGTGAGCACTCAGACCTCTCTTCCTGTAACATCTCCAAAGCCGCCTGCCCGTTTTTTTACAGCATCAGTACACCTTTGATCCTCAAGGCAGCTCCTAATTAATTTCCAAAAAGGCCTCCTACCACCTTTGAGTGTTCCTTCTTGTGCGGCAAAATCAAGGTCCCTGCCCAACTTGTCCCATGAAGATATCGTTAGATTTCCGGAATGTCCAAACCATGGTGCATTAGCATCACATTCTTCCAGAAACCTCTCTAGGGTGCTTTTCTTAAGTTTTAAATCTTTTGAACGAAGCAGCTCATTTAGAGCCCAAAAAATTGGGTGAGAAGTAGAATTCCCCATATCCACTCAATGGGTATCCTCAACACACCCCCTACAAAAGCAAGCAAAAAAAAAGATACCAGAACACTGTGTTCAGGAATATCCAGACGGCCAAGAGTAGATAGTAATCCATCAACAGAATCAGCCGTTTTACTTTTAGCTCTCCAGGCCTGAGAGCCGAATTCGCTCCGTCTTTATCTACAGAGGGAGCAATAAAAAAACCCCTACAGAGGGAGCAATTAAAACCCTGCTTTTGTCGCAGTCCTTGTTTCCCCGCTCTTGACGCGGATCCCCTGCTTACCTGGGGACTTACCGGTGCACCACCCTGACTGCAGGAAGTTCTGGGTTCCCCGTATGGGCCACCAGTTGCTGCGCCTATCTTGACCAGCAAGAAAGACACAACCCGGGAACTCTTCTTCCTGAAGTTTATTTCAGGAGCCTGTACAATCTTCTTCTGGGGGCCCCGAGGAAACCCGACCCTCTGCTTAAAAGGCCCTTGGTAGCCCACCCCAGACTGCCACGTGGCGAAAGCAGAAGGGTCCACATACACGGAAGCAGGCCTGAAGCCCAGCCTTAGCCAGATAAGAAATTGTCCAGGACAAAGACCTCTCACCCTCGGAATGGTGGGAGGCAGAAGCCGATGGGCCGACAAAGTGCAGCTCTCCACAGGCCCCGACTATGTAACATTTCCTTGTATTTATTTTTATTCATCAAGTACAGCTTAGAGAGGAATCATTTTTTTTATAATAATCTACAAGAAAAATGCCCAGTAGAATGGGATCTTTCCATGAGATAAACATATTACTTTACAGCCAGCAGGAATCTCCCCACACCCAATTCAACTATGCCAGATACCAGAGAAAGATAGCAGCAGTCAACATGGAAAGACACAGCAGAAGGCTGTGGCCTCGGGGCCTTGCCTAGCTGAGATTTATTCATCAGAGCCGTCTGCCTGGTGGGCTGACACCTTGAACTTCAGTTGCCACCTGCTGCTCCTCTGACATGGCCACTGGTCAGTTCCAGGAGTGTCTGTCAGCTTCACTTGTGAGAAAAATACAATCAATTTACGGAGAGGGAAGTTGGAGAGCTGGAGAGATGGCTTGAGGCTAAGAACTCTGCTGCTCTTGCAGAGGACCCAGGCTTGGTCCAGAACCCACGACATGGTGGCTTACAACTATCCCTAACTCAGCTTCCGAACTCCATGCTCGCAAGGCACTCATGTGGTACACACACATACGTGCAGCCAAAACACTTACACACATAAACAAATCTTAAGAAATAAAAAGGAAGGTTTATTTTGGCTCACAAATTCAGAAGATCCAATCCATAGGTCACTTGTCCCACTGCTTTTGGGACCATGGTGACACAGGAATTTATGGCAGAGTCTTCTGCTCCATTCAGGACAACCAGGAAGCAAAAAGAGGGAGGCGATGATGAAGCAAGCCCCCTCTACTCCCTTCAGGGCCAATCCCCCAGTAACCTACAAGTCCCTACATCCTAAAGACTCCTCCTAGCAGCAGAAAGCTGGGGACCAACTCCCCACCAGATGGGCCTTTGGAGGACACTCGAAATCCAGATGCAGGACTAGGTGGGGTTATGTGTTTCTGCAAAGATGAGTGGGGTTAAATGAAAGTGATGCTATCCCAGAGACGGTCCCTCTAAGGGCAAGAAGTTTGGCTCAGAATCTCAGGGTACACAGGAAAGAGCCGTGCAGAGGGCAGCTTCGTAGTGTTAGTTTCCTCTAGATAAGGAAAAGGTTTTTTTCCTGTATGAGACAGATCTCTTTGTGGAGCCCTGGCTGTCCTGTGTGTAGACCAGACTGGCCTCTCACTCTGTAGACCGGGCTGGCCCCCAACTCAGAACTGTGAGGAGTAAACAGCTGATGTTTAAGGCTGCCCACTTGTCTAGGCAAACAAATGAGCTAAAGCTTGCAAACTTATTTGTAATTAACTACATCAAAACGCTCCTCGAAATCCCAACTCCAAGCGACCCATGTATTGACTGCTTCCCTACAAGCTACTTTCAGAATCTTGCTTATAGATCCCTGTACATCCCCTGCTAATGGAAAATTCTCACATGTGTTAAAACTTGTCTTTGCTTTGGTTGGAACTGGCTGAGTATCTTCTGCCTACTTTTAGATGAGACTACTCCATTTTGCTTGTTAGTTTAGAGGAGTAGTGCTACTGTTCGCTCATTTGGCAAATGTTCCCTCTGGTTCTTGCTTTCAGTAAATTTTGTTTTATTTTATCATGGAGAATTTAGGTTTGTATATATTCAAACTCATTTCCTTTATGATATCTGTGGCTCACTTGCCCCACCACCAGTCAGATGGTTCACAGGGAGTTTTCCTCTGTTTTGATGATTCTGTATTTAGTTGTATGCCTTAATCCCACCTATATTTATTTTGATGGCATACTAGTTGGATATACACTGATTTTTTCCCCTTCAAATAGCAAACTCTTACTATACAATATTCTGAAGGGGGGGACTGGAGAGATGGCTCAGCAGTTAAGATCACCGACTGCTCTTCCAGAGGTCCTGAGTTCAATTCCCAGCAACCACATGGTGGCTCACAACCATCTGTTATAAGATCTGGTGCCCTCTTCTGGTGTGCAGATATACATGGAAGCAGAATGTTGTATACATAATAAATAAATAAAATCTTTAAAAAAAACAATATTCTGAAGGGAAATCCACTCAACAACCGTTAAGTTGAAACAATTTGTTTTCTAGGTTATTACCCACCAGGGTCTGACTATTGGTTATTGTGATTCACTGTTATTTTTCTCCATCATTAATGCCATTGTCTTGTAATTGCTATACCAATTATATATTTAGCTACCTAACCGGGCAAATCTTCCTCTGTCCTTGGCATTTAAGACTCTCCTAGGTCCATTCCACTCAGCGAATTTTAATTTGATATATTCTCCCAAACATATTCTTTGAGACATCAGTTAAAATTACATTGTCTATTATATCTTTCTAATGAGAAAACAGTGTCTCTTTATTCAAACCTACTTATTATAAACCCTTCAAGGACTATTGTTTGGCATTTTATACTGTGACTATTTCGAATGATGCCAGTTTTCCACACTGACTTAATTATTGAATCACATGAAAGCTATTGATTCAGGAATGGTAGTCTAAGTATTTGTGGAGTTTTCTTATTGATCACAAAAGGATCTCTTCCTCCTTTTCCCTTCCTCCTTTCCTTTCTTCCTTTGTATTTTATTGTTATTTTTGAGACACTGGGTAGCCTGGAACTCACTATGTAGACCAGGCTGGCCTCAAATTCACAGTTCCACCTGCCTCTTCCTTTGAGTGCTGGGCTTAAAGGCGTGCGTTACCATGACTAGCCTTCTGTTATTTTGTAAGGCTGTAGTTAGATTATCATCATGTATAAACAATATGATTACATCGAATCCTCATTATAAATGCTTTCATTAGATGTTAAAAACTATTTCTTCATTTATTTTAAGTTCAACCCTCTGTTTCCCAGAAACACAGAATGTCCACATTGTGGCTTTCTGTGAGCGAATATAACTTTGGTAGGTTGCAGTCCCAATGTTATGGGTGGGACTGAAAGTGGGGACCCTGGCAGGCAAAAGTCAGCGGCACAGCTTTTATCCTGCTTCAAACCAGATCATCAGACCATTAGACAGCCCTATAGAATTTGCCTTCTTACCTTGATTTCCATTAAGATATTCTTAAACCACCTGTAAAATCTATGGTCACACTTGCTTGTTAATGATATTTTCAGGGTATTGCCTTTGACAACACTAACTTTGTTAGACTTTTTTTATTGCCATGCCACATGAGGGCTGTTTATTTCAGGCAATGAAATCAGGGGATTGAGCTTCCCTTTCCTCTCCCATTGCTGCAGAAACTCAGAGCAAAACTTGCTGCTCAACCAGAGCATTATTTAATGCCCTCAGAGCTGACACAGAATTGCCTTCATGGTTCTAATTCCTCTTCCCTGTCTTGCCTCTTATTATTAATAATTTTTGTAGGTCATTCTGAATCACTTTGGAAAGAAGGCCAAGTGTACAGGGTATTTTCTTTGCTGCTGTCACGTGGCTGTCACTGTTGCAAAGGAGCCTGTGACAGATGTCTCTAAGGAGGGTCAGTGGTGCCCAGTGGAAGATGGTAGCAGCTGTTCTATTCTGACTTAGCAGAGAGATTGCCACACAAGGGTCTGGGGTAAGGGCTGTCCTTTCCTAACAAACTGGCTAAAAGCCCCTAAAACTGACTTTGGAGGCTGTCCTGGAACTAGCTCTTGGCTTTGGCTTCTTGAATCAATGTAAATTTTGGATTTCTATTTTAATGTTTACTAATACTTCATATTTTAAAAATACTTTGAATCAATAGAAAACAGAACAGTGTTTGTGAGAGTGGCACAGGGGAAATGAGAGTTGTTCAAAGACACAAAGACTCATTTGTATGGGTTAAGTTCTAGAACTCGGCTATACCATCTAGTGCCTCAAACTAATAATGAGGCATTGGCACTTAGAATTCATTGAAGTTAGGTCTCCCATCAGATGTTCTTGTCAAAGCAACACCAATAATAATTAGAGCAAAGGTACACAATAACTCCTGGAAGTTATGGCATCGCACGTGAGTGAAGCTGGCTAAACCCATCTGGTTGTCTTGCTAGGTAGGGCTAGCTCTGTGTATCAACTAAGCCTCCACAGGTGGCTTAAAACATGACAAGACCTCCCAGTCCAGACCTGGATCTTTGGTCTTTTAAGACACCAGAGAACAGGAATCAGAAATCCAGTTACTGGAGACAATGCAAGTCTTTTCCACCAAAGCCGTGATGTCATAATGGTGTCAAAGATTGTTCAGACTTAAGCCTCTGAGAAGCCTGGTTTAGAGTTCTGTCTCAGCTTTCGTGATCAAAGATTAGTAAAATGATCCCTACAAACTAGAAACAGCCTTGGTGTGTGGACTCTGTAGCAATCCTAGTACAAGAAAATAGCAAAGTCATGTGACACATTCCAACCCTTTGTTTCCAGAGTTTCTTATCAAAACCCTAAAGACATGTGGAGGAGAACTTCCTACCCCCTTCAGGTATGTAACCCTACAGAATGAATGCCTGCATTTCCAATGTTGCTGCAAATACCCAAAGAGCAAGACTTTCAAATGTGAATTTAAAAAAAAAAAAAGAAAGAAAAATAAGATAGCAGACCTTTCTGATTTCACTCAAGGAATTTCTAAGTTCACCCCGTTTGCCAAGAAAAAACACGGCCACTCCTTGTTTTGATTCTTTCAGATAAAAAGTGGGCTTTCATGTTTCTGCTCTACAAGCAGAGCCATTTAGGAGAACACATTTGTCTTATTTGATCCTTTTTTTTTTTAAATCAAAAAGAAAGCAGCTATTAACATGTGTGATGTTCTCAGAATATATGATTATTTTAATTCTTCAATGCTAGCTTCCAGTTTTTCCAGAAGGGCACCAGAAAACTCACCCACCTTTTCCTCTTTTTTATAAAACTGGAAAGTGGGGAGGCTAAAGACATCGCAGTCTTGCACCAGTTGCTCGCAGTCATCGGCGTCCACTTCCAGGAACAGCACGTCCTCGTGTTTCAAAGACAAAGAGTGGAAGTGTGGCTTGATGGTTTTGCAAGGCCCACACCACGAGGCTGAGAAGTCCACAGCCACCAGCTTCTCCCCGGCCTCTCTGAGCACCTCCTCAAATTCCTCCTTGTCTATGATCACTCTCACCATGTCTTCCTCTGGAAGCTCCACTTGCTCTTCCAAGTGGTGTGAGATTTGGCTCTCCTTTGTGTCTTTGGAGGACTTGATGATGTGACCTCCCTGGGACTTGGTGGCTTCTGGGGGCTTGGTGACTTCTCTCGTATTGGACTGGGTAGTGTATTTTGAGGACTTGTAATCCTTGGGTTGGATGCTGTCCAGTGAGGACCTGGGTGAGTCAGTCGCCTTGCATAGGACGCTGTCTTTTAAGGGCTTGTGGATTGTAACATCTTTGGACAGGATGCTGTCCAGTGAGGACCTGGGTGTGTCAGTCGCCTTGAATAGGACACTGTCTTTTAAAGGCATGTGGATTTTAACATCTTTGGACTGGATGGTATCCTGTGAAGACTTGGGGATGTCACTCTCCTTGGATGAGCTGTTGTCTTGAAAGGGCTGGTGGATTTTAACATCTTTGGGCAGGTTGGTGTCCTGTGAGGACCTGGGAGTGTTGATCTCCTTGGACCAGATACTGTCATTTAAAGGCATGTGTATTTTAACATCTTTGGACTGGATGGTATCCTGTGAAGACTTGGGGATGTCACTCTCCTTGGATGAGCTGTTGTCATGTAAGGGCTGGTGGATTTTAACATCTTTGGACTGGATGGTGTCCTGTGAGGACTTGGGGATGTTACTCTCCTTGGACCAGATGCTGGTCTTTAAGGGCTTGTAGATTTTACCATCTTTGGACAGGTTGGTGTCCTGTGAGGACTTGGGGATATCATTCCCCTTGAATAGGATGGTGACCTGTGAGAGCTTGGGGACGTTACTCTCATTGGGCAGCACGGTGTCTTCTGAGGACTTGGAGATGTCACCCTCTTTGGATTGGATGGTGTTCTCTGATGACTTGGGCATGCTGGTCTTCTTGTGATGGCTGCTGTTTTCTGTAGGCTTGTGGGTGGTCCCCTGTTTGGGATGGGTGGTTTTTGCCAAGGATTTGGACATGTTTCTGGCCTTGGTCTTAAAAATCTTTTTCTGTTTTAGATTAGAAGCTTTGGCTGAGGGCTTTGAGGTTTTACCCTGTTTCACCTGAGTGGTTTTTGCTGAGGACTTGGGGCTATACCTATGTTTAGGGTGGGTGGTATTTTCTGAGAAAATGGGGCTGTCACTAACCTGCTGTAGGATCTCAGACTCCTCTGTGACCACATGCAGTGTGCTGCTGGCCATGGGAACAATGGCCTTCCCTTTGGCCCGGGCTGTATCCAAGAACCCTGGAATCAGAGCCTCTTTTTGGGATAGAACCTGTAATGGATGTTCTAAACGAAAAATAAATAAATACAATAGAAATGCAAAAGAAGAAGGAAAAGACTGAATATCTATACCAAGGAAGACTTATTCTCAGAGATCATGAATCAATCTGACGACTAATGCGCAAACCTGAGTAACTTCATTCCCCAGAGAGCCAGGCATCATGGATGGTTATGTGGGTCTCTGTGTGTTTCTTGCTTTAACAGCAACTTTTTCTTTCTCAGTTTAATCCAGCCACCTGCTTCCCAAACTCATGGACCCATGACAGCTCTCTTCCTCCCCTCTTACCATAGGTGTCACTGTCACTTGCTCTCCCTTGGTTGTTTGGTATCATGGCTGACTCCTCAGGGGTTCTGGCTTGAACGCGGTTCTTGTCCAACCCCTTGTCTTGATTCATTTTGGGGTGGGGAGGGGTCCTTCTTAGATTTTTCTTCTATAGCCAAACTAAGAACAAAATGTACCAACAGCTTAATACTGGGGCAGCACTCCACAGCCTGTGTTCCCAACCAGTGCCCCAACAGTGGCACATGAAGGCCCCATGGCAGCCTCAGTGCTGGTGGCCATGCTGTGTGAGGCTACGGATGCACAAACAGGCATTATTTCCTCAAGTGCAACCAGCCACTGAGGTAAGGTCCATTGTGATCAGCACCTTACAGATGAGGAAACTGAACTGTAGAGAGGTTATATGGCCAGGAAAGGTCAGGGTTCAAAGGTCAAGGTTCAAAGCCTACTCTTTGTCAAATAGCCTGTCTACACCAGGAGCATAAACTGACTATATATATATATAGTTGTTCAAGACAGGGTTGTTCAAGACAGGGTTTCTCTGTATTGCTTTGGAATCTGTTCTGGCACTCGCTCTGTAGACCAGGCTGTCCTCAAACTCACAGAGATCCACCTGCCTCTGTCTCCCGAGTCCTGGGATTTAAAGGCATGTGCCACCACCGCTCTGCTAAACCAACTTTCTTATAATTTTTCCCCCAAGGATTCTCTAGCACCAAGTTTCTCTTTATGACTCATTAATTATGTTAGTTTCTTTCTCTAATACCATAACAAAACAGCCGAAGCTATGTACTTTATGAATACATGAGAGTTATTTAGTTCATAGTTCTGGAGGGTTAAGAGGGTGGCACCAGCATCTATCTAGCTCTTACAAAGGCTTTCTTGGCAGATGGCTATGAAGTCCCAGCAACGAGGTAGGCACAAACAAGAAAATCACATGTCAACACTGGAAGCCAGAGTATGAAGGAGAGATAGAGCCACACCTACTCTTTGTCTTAGGGTCACCATCCCTGTGAGCAAAAACATGACCAAAAGCAACTTGGGAGTGGAAAGGATTGACTTGGCTCGTATATCATGGATCCCAGTCCACTGAGGAAAGCTGAGGCAGGGACTCCAAGCCTGTAGGAACCTGGAGGCAGGAGCTGATGCAGAGGCCGTGGAGGGGAGCTGCTTACTGGCTTGCTCCTCATGGCTTGCTCAACCTGCTTTCTTATAGAACCCAGGACCACTATCCCAGGGTAACACCACCCACCGTGGTCTGGGCCCTACCCCATCAATCACTAATTAAGAAAATGCTCTACAGGCTTCTCCACAGCCAAATCTCATCCAGGCAATTTCTCAGTTGGAGGTCCCCACTCTGAGATGACTCCAGCTAGCACACCCTCCTCACAAGAACTAATTTAGGATCATGGCAACCACCCTAATCCCTCCTGAAGGAAGAACTCAAAAGACCTATAGACCGCCTCTTGACATTCCCATACTAGAACCAGCTTAGGAACAAGCCACAGTGCTCACCGTAGCTGTCTGCTATCTATCTCCTCTAAGAACACTGCATTATAGCAGATAAGCGTCTCCTGCCAGACAGCCTCTTCCCATCCTCATGAGGCCTGCTTAGTTCTACCTCTTACCTGAAGAATAGCTTCCCTGTGGCTAGTTCCAACTGAATCAGCCATGTGTACCTCACTAATGCATAACTGCAGTCAAATTACCTTTTCATAAGGCTGGTGTGGAGCTCAGCAGTATAGCTTGCCTAGCATGCATGAGACTCTGGGTTCCCTCTTTAGCGACACACACACACACACACACACACACACACACACACACACACACACACACACAAGCACACACACACACACACACACCTTGCAGAAAGAATTCTGAGGTCACTTGCTTGTTTTCCACATTTACTCTGCATAGCATGTCTAGTCCCAACAATGTGTGTGAAAATGAAGTTTTACATTCAAGAAAAAGTTTTAAATTTAATGTTATGTACATAGGTGTTTTGCCTGCATGTATGTGTGTGCACTGTGTGCATGCCTGGTGACCACAGAGGCCAGAAGAGAGCATCAGATCCCCTGAAACTGGAGTCACAGACAGTTGTGAGCTGCCATCTGAGTGCTGAGAATCAAGCGTGGGCCCTCTGGAAGAACATTCAGTGCTCTCCAGCTCAAGTTTTACATTCCTGACATACACTTTTTTTTTTCCCACACAAATATTCATGTTTCTTTCACTACACTACAGGAAGTCAAAACTAAGAAGGTTGTCTAAACAGTGGAGTGCCCATGCTGTCTAAAGAAGATTTGAAACATGTACTAGTAGTGATTTAATTATCTGGGCTTTGATAACGGATATATTCAATGAAGGCAGGAAGTAATGCTGGTATCGGTAAACTCATTTTTAATAGAATATATTTTATCTCTTCTTTGACAGTTTTCAAACAACATGTCTTGCTCGTGTCCACCCCCAGGACTCCCTCCCCGACTCCCCAGGCATCCTCAACACATTTCTTCCCTCACACCATGACCACTTTTCTACAGCCTCCTAAGTCGTGCCAGCATTGCCGGTTGGAACACTGACGGTCTTGTTGGCTTGATCTTGTGTAGGTGACCAGTGACTGCTGCTGAGGTCTGCCAGTGCCATAGCCGTGTGGTATCTGAAAGACTGCACGGCGTCACAGCGCCGCCCCCCCCCCCAGCCCCTGCCTCTTTCACTCTCTCTGCTCTCTCTTCTATGATGACCCACCAGCCTCCTGGGGAGGGCTGAGCGCACTCAGACGGTTGCTGCTGTCATAAAAGGGATATCCTTGAGCCTTGAGCCTTGTGGCATGAACTTCATCCCTGGGATGTGGCCTTTACAAGGCCACAGGGAATGGATTATGACCTTATGACACAGATGAGACTTCCCAGCTGAGAGGAAGAAACGGGAATGTCTCCCCTTCCATGTTGTGAGGCGGCAGGAGCAGACATGCATCCCAGCCTCTCCCCTCTGGCTTGAAGCATCTGCATCAATGTGGGTTACAGGCACTCACAGGAAAGCTGCAAATAATGCTCCCATGCTCCGTCAGGGGTGGGGTGGGGGACAGGAGAGCCGCATCCAGGTGGCTTCCACAGCCTACCCTGTCCTTGTCCCATCACAACATGGGCCACCAACAGACCGGCGAGGGCATGCCTAAGACAGGGCAGGCTCTGGCCCCCTCTAGCATGCAGGGGAGGCGCCACGGATCTGGCAGTCCTGCCCGTACCTAAGTGGGGCTGGGAACACTTAGAGCAGTGGACCATGGAGGCCTAGGGAAAGCAGAGAAGCCAAGCTGCTGGGAAATGGGTTGTGCTCAGAGGCAAGAATTGCTGCATCAGAAAGAGTGCAGCATCCCCAGCTATAGTGAGCAATTGCTGGTGCTTCTCTGCCTGGGGCCAAGCAAAGCCAGGCCACATCACAGGGAAAAGCAGCAAGAGGTGAGGCTGCCCTGGCACACTGGACCCTCAAGCTCTGTGCACCCCCACCTGCCTAGAAAGGAGGGGAACCGGAAACACTACAGTGAGGAGAGCCCTGGGCGCTGAAATTCTACCAACAGGCACATTTAATTTGACCAGACTGCTCCTCCCAAGCCACCACTTAATCCCATTGAGGAAAGGCTCAGAGGGAAAATTAGATCCATTTAAAAAAAACATTTGAAGCCAAATCACACCTGCCTATGTTAGCGAAAGACAGGAAGTCTGCCCCCTCCTGCTGCCATTATGAGGCTTGGCAGAGCTGTGCTGGTTGTTTCTCTCTTGCTTCTGCGGTTCATGGATTTCAAGACACTTGGAATGTTGATAGTGCTGAAGAATTTCCAATCCACTTGTCATAACGTATGCTTTCCTTCAGCACAGGCATGTCTCCCAGGTGTCGGGAAGGCCTGTGTGAGCCAGGGTGTGTCTTAGGAAGCAAACAACCAGTTATTTTAAGCATAAGATGGTTGAGGTGGTTATGAAATAGGCCGGAAGGATCTCACTGGGTCTCCAAACAGTACACAGCACTGCAGAATAGACCTACCTGCCCATGGGGCTGCAGCCTCCAAGACCCCAGGGAGGCAATCCCACCGCCAAGGCTGGCTTCAAGAACTTTCTGCTACAGACACAATCCCACCGTGAGCCTCTGGAATCCCTCTCAGCTCAGAGTTAGAGGTGAACACTGCTCCCACATTCCTCCCTTCTGGGCTCCTGCAGGAACGAGCACAGCCAGCTGTGAGTCCTGGCTTCCTTCTCAAGCAGGCTCGCCACTGGGAGAAACTAAATTGTACACAGAGCCCCAGCTGCAAGGGGCCATAACTCCACAGCACCGAGCAGCCTGCTAGCAGGAAGCCGGGATGAGCACTGGGAAGTCTCTTCTCTCTCTACAGTGAGAGTGTTGTGGGCCAGTCTTGAATACACTAAGCTGGCATCAATTGTGTTTGATTTACAAATCGGTACAGACTCCTGAGAGAAGAACTAGAAAGCTGCTGTGTGGAAAGAAAATAAAACTAACCCATTTTGTCTGTATTGGTTGTTTCCCATGGCTTTGACAAAATGCCGGTCAGAAAGAGCCTTGAGGTCAAGGTGTGTGTCGGCTCACGGTTTCAGAGGGTGTTCAGTCATGGCAGGGAAGGCATGGTGCAGCGGCTTAGTGGCAGCAGGAACCCATGGCAGCGGAGGCTTGTTCATGTGAACAGAGAACAGGACTGGGAACAGGCATGGCCCATAACCATCAAACCCCACCAGAGCAGCCTGACCTCACCTCCTATAGTTTCATAATCTGCCAAATTCTGCCATCAACTGGGGACCAGATTTTTAAACAGTAGCCTTTGGTGACCATTTCAGACCCAATCCACTTTCCAGAACCCATCCTCAGAGCTTATTGCTGTCAGTATTATGACAAATACTGTCTTTTGCTATATGCACATAGACGTTTTCTTTCCTTTAAAGATCTATCACACATGTGTGTGGACATGTGTGTCACAGCCAGTCCGTGGAAGTCAGAGGGCGACTTTCAAGAGCCACTTCTCTCCTTCAAGCACCTTGTGGGTCTTGGGGATCAAACCCGGGTCCTCAGGCTTGGCAGTAAGCTCCCTCACCCACTGAGCCATCTTGCTGGCCTGACTGTAGATAGAATGTAATGAGAACTTTCTTTCGTTTTAAGAGTCATTTTGCTTTTAGTTATGGGGAGGTTCAGGTTGCATGCGTGAGTGTGGGTACCCACAGAGTTCAGAAGAGAGCCCCGATCCCCTGGAGTGAGGAGTGCAAAGCGGGCAACCTAACTCAGGTCCTCTGTGAGTTTTCAAACATTGAGCCCCTCTAGCAAACATTTTGTAATCCTTTTTGCTTAAGCAGTATCCTGGTGCTCGTTCACAGCAGGAGGCCCAAGAACCCACCTATGCCTCTGGCCTCTGCCTCTCAATTGACCCTTTCCTGCCTTTTGAGTCTTCCTGGTGGAGGCTTGCACAGAGAACCAGTCTCACTAGGACTTAACCAATTGGCTTGAAAAGTGTTAATTAGCTAGCTGCCTCTCAGTTGGGGTTGGTCTGATGTGTTTCTTATGTTCAGATGAGTCTTAGGGATAGAGTGCTGTCTTCATCCTCTAATTATAAATTAAATATATCTAGGGATCACACCACCAACAAGCCTGAGGTCTAATGCATTTGAACTTGAGCACCTGGTTGAGGAGTTATTGCTTAGTTTCTCAGTTGAACGACTAATTCCTTCCCCTCCCTTTCCTTATTGCAGAGGAAAGAAAGGAAGGGAAGGGGAGGGGAGGGAAGGAATGGGAGGGGAGGGGAGGAAGTGGAGGGGAGGAAGGGAAGGGGAGGAAAGGAGGAGGAAGAGAGGTCACTTCCCAGCCATGCTCAAGAGAAATGTCCCATATAAATCACTTAGAATTCTTCTGTTTGGGGGTTTTGTTCTCCATTTTTTTTATTTAGTCATCTGTTCATATTAAAGTTGATTCGTGGATGTTCAATTTATACTTTGTTTTATAATCTGCAACTTTGTTGTTTCATTGTTCAGCTGGCCCCAGGCTTTTGAGAGCATTCTTTGAATGACTCCTGTTTCTCTTGTCATCTACTTACCCTTGCAAACGTCTGTGCTTTCTGCTTACAAGATCGGCAGTACTGACCATCGACATGGCAGGACCCAGAATCATCTAAGGGTTTATCTCTATTAGGTTCATTTGGGTCAGAAGTGTTATGGGGATCCACCAGAGAAGACCACTCAGACATGGTTTAAGCCAATAGAAAGTCTTTATTAGCCAGCCCAGAGGGGGACTGTACTGGCTGTTCAGGACCCCAGTGTAGGCCCACATCTTTTTCAGGGTGAGATTTTAAGCATAAAAACCATATCCTAGGATGACATACTTCCATTCAAGAACATTTGGCCAAAAGTGGAATTACAGAAGTCAAAAAGCAAGGTCAGTGCATTGAGAGACTGCCCCAGAATTATGGGCTTTGAGGGATTAGGTCTTCGTTCTCATTTTGACAGGTAATGCTATCAGCATTTGAGTTTTATGGCCCAAATGGTACTTTTCATCGTGGACTTAGTAGTGCTAAGGTCTGTTCCAAGTCACCTTCCTATGGGCTGGGCTCCTGGACTGAATAAAACAGAGAAAGCAAGCTAACATCAGTGTTCAACAATCCCTACTTCCTGAATGCAGATGTAACATGACCAGTGTCCTCAGAGCCTGCTGCCATGACTGCACCCTTGAACTTGAGCCAAAACAAACCCTGTCCTCCTTCCATCCTTAAGTTTCTTTTGTCAGGTATTTTATTACAGAGCCAAGAAATTAAGGAACTTTGCCAGGCTCACCTAGTACAGTGGCTCTCAACCTGTGGGTCTCAACCATCAGAGAGCACTTATTTCCCAAGTGTGACAGATTCTGCTCAGTAGCAAAATTACAGTTATGAAATAGCAAGGAAAATAAGTTTATGGTTGGGGGGGTCACCATAACATGAGGAAGGTTGAGGACCGCTGATCTAGTCGCTGTCCTGGCTCTAAAATCCTGCTTTTCTACGTTCCTTTGGTCAGAGAATGACGTTTAGGGATAGACTGAAGATGTGGGGCTGCCACACGGAGCCAGATAATGCACTGGAAACAGCTATGAAAGGCAAATCCTAGTAATTGCAGAGCAAGCAGTTTATAAACACATGGTTGGGAGTGTGCTGCAGTGGCCCAGGCGCCTGCCTTTGCCAAACTGACACGGCTGAGTCCCAGATCCTTGGTCTCCATTTGACCAGTTTGTCCAGGAGCTTTAAGTCTGCCACATTGGTGGCCTACAGCCACCCTGAGAGAGTCACAGGTGCTTGTAGTGACAGTCTGAGACTACAGGGGGGTGGGGGGATGGACTAAGCAGCTCAGGCTTGTCTGTTACAGCAGGTGATAAGCATCAGCACAGGCACCCTCTAGATTCTAGAACCTCCTCTTCTGAAGACTTGGCTCATGCCATCGGGCAAAGTTAGCAGCTGAGGGCCTGTTTTGACTTCTACTACGGTGTTCAGAGCTCCCTTATATGAATACTCACTGGGAAATCTGTCTGAAGTGGCTTTGGTAAGACCCAAATTATTTCCAAGTTTGTTGATGTTTTGGTACAAACGCACTGTAAATGCTCATGCCTCCTGGCCATAGTTCCATTGTTCTGCACCCATCTACCAGTACTCACCCTTAAAGGGACCCAGCCAAGTGAAATAGCAGACTCCTTCCTATAGACTGTCCACTTTCAGAAACAATAGACCCGCCAAAGAGTAGAGCACATGAACAAGCCACATTGCCCATCTCTTAGTGCGGTAATTGCAAATCTGATGTTCAGAGTCACCATGCTGGACTTCCTGAGGAGGAGCTCCATTTCATTGTCCCAAGCATGGCACCCAGAGGGCACCGTGACCACAGACAGAAACAGGTGAATTTCACAAGTTTAATGAGAAATAATTGGAGAAGATTCAGGTTTTATTTTCTAAAGTTAGCTGTAAATTTAGTTCCCTATCTAGCAGCCACTAGCATCACCTTGATTGTCAACTTGACTACCTCTGGAGTGGACTAAAAGCCAAGCAGCTGGGCGCACCTATGAGGGATTTTCTAATTTGATTGTTTTCGGTAGGAAGACCAGCTGTAAGTCTAGGCCACACTTTCTGGTGGCTGTACATAAAGGGCATAGAAGGAAGCTTTTCACTTTTTGCCTCCTTGTCCTTACTCTTGATGGCAACTCCACCTGTCCTGCTGTGGAGGCATTGCTTCACTGGTATTAGAATCTACTTTGGGATTCCAGCTTAGACTGAAGACCACTGAGACATTTCAGATTGATGAATTAAACAACAACAGAATCCTTGGCTTTCCCATCAGGAGACAGCCATTTTTGGACTAGCCAGACCATAGCCTGTAAGTCATTCTAATATATCCTCTTGTAGTACATATAGAGTCATATAACTCCATTCCTAGAGAATCCTATACAAACCCTGAATAAAGAAAAGGAGAGAGATGAAGGGAACTGACTGTCCCCACAAGACTTTTACAGACCATTCACAGGAGGTGCGAAAACAGAACATTGGAAAGCAAATGTTTGAATCGATAAAGTTTAAAATGCCACCAACCAGGACATGGTTTCCCAGTCCCTCAGCCCTCCCATGAAACCACTCTTAATGAAATGGGAGTCATGTGACATGTCTTTTCTCTCCTGCCCAAGCATAAGCCTTGGTGGCTCAGTGTGACAACACAGATACTCAGTGACAACAGGATGGAAATGCCCGTCTCCTGTGAGTTCCTCTTTTTCTTTGGCCCTCCAAGGTAATATTCAGAATGGGGAGAGAATAAAAGTATCCTTTTCGGGCTAGACTCTGTGTTAATGTAAGGCATCAGTATCTTTGATAGTGCTATTTGAACTTAGATGCTAACCTGCTGCCCCCAGTCTACAATGATCAGAAATTGGGGAGAAGCTGGGGAAAGAGAAGCAAATGGGGATTGCCGGTAGCCATGACAGCGAGCTGCAGGCCACAACAGAACTGATGGAACACAGCCCAGAGGGTAGCAAAGCCACTCCCGGAGAGGCAAAGCCCCGAGGGTTGTTCCCAGAATGCCCCTTGCTTCTGCTGTGCTTCCTCCTGCTGGCATCGATGCCGCCCTGTTCCTGCTGTATTTGGCATGGTGTGGTTACATAGGAAGGGATCCCACTGTGTCTTCTATAGTGTGATTGTTTCCTGGGAAAACCCCACTCCTCACTGGACACTTTACTTGCAGATCATAAAGAAGATGATGTTTATAAGAGCAATGACATCTGTGATTTAATTAAACTTCTGAGTTAGCCTAAGACATACAGGTGGTTAAGACAGTAAAGATGATTAGGGAAAATGGTTTTGGTTGTTCTGTCAGTAGCTCCAATAAGATATACAAAAAAAAAAAAAAAAAAAAGGCAAAAATAGGCTAGAAGTCACCTTCCTTCCCCTTTGTTAGATGTGAGATTTTCAGAGGATGGAAAATAACAAGGAAGTTTCATGCATTATAGACCCATGAATTCTACCTGTGGAAAAACATGCTGATGATCAAAGAAAACAATTATGTCCCTACACCCAAGGTTAGGCCTGAGTTCCTAGGTCATGTAGCTTACAGAATTAATCACAGGCCCCAGCATGCTCCTTAAAAAAGCAAAGTTGGGAAATTAAATGACCCTATTGTGTGTAAAGAAAAAT